CACTACGCGAACAAGAAGAGATTGTATATTGAGTATAGCCAATTGTACTGGCGGCGGTTGAAAGAGTGATTACATATTGAGTATAGTCAGTTGCATTGGCGATTGCAAGCAATAAGGGATTGAGATGAATAGCACAGAACTAGGGAGTTGGAGGAGGAGGAGGAGGAGGATTGAGATGAATAGCACAGCACTAGGGAGTTGGAGGAAAATGAATGGCTCATACCTTAGACACTATGTATGCATTCTCCCTTGAAATGTTCACAATTTCTTTTGTCTTAGATTATAATTTTCAATAATGGCAATTTATTTTGTCTTATAGTATATTTTCAATAATGGCAATTCTTGAGATCTAATTTGTGATCATTGTGCTATGTGAACTGAGAAAAGCTATACATTGACTGATCATTCTACATGTTTGTTTGTAATCATTGTACATGAGTGTTTACGAGTCATCTTCTTCTTCTTTTTTCGAAGGTGAGAGTTTACATTTCTTTTGAGTATGAATTGAAGTCTGTGAGGGGGTGTAGGGTATCAAGGGGTTCAGGGTACGATCGAGGATATTGTGAGAGTTAGGGTACCAAGGGATGCAAGGTACGATGGAGGATATTGTAAGAGGGAGGATATCAAGGGAACCAGGGTATGACGGAGGATATTGTATGAAGCCAGGTATAATGGAAGGTATTGAAAGAAGCAAGGTATTGTATGGACTTTTGGAACGAGAATTGTTGGAGAGGCGATGTGTGCAAGTTTACACACGAAGTGTATGAGTATTGGCCGCATCCGGCTCAATATCGAGCATAGCCATGCAAAGATGGACAAAATTGCCATCGTCGAGTGTGTTTTTCCATAGACATGTCGGAGCAGATGCGATTGCTACCCACGGTGCCACAAGTAGCGAGGATGGGAGGTCGGAGCAGAGTGGGTTACGTCGAGTTGCCGCAAGCAGGTGTAGCAACGAGGTACAATGGGGCGTTCGAGTACGAGAGCTCATCTCACAAAAGAGCATTGGGAGGTCACAGTCTGAGCCACTCATTGAGTACAAGAGCTCGGCCCACTCGGATGCAAGGTGTGTGGCGTCACAAAAATTATCGTCCAGGCCGATGCTTGTCGGACATGCGCAATACTCGTCGTCGGTGAGCCTTCTGTTGTCTCCGTCGGGGTTGCCTTTGTCGTCACTCAGGTGGACAGAAGAATGGAAAATACTTGCAGAGTCATTTATGAGCGAGTCGATGTGAAGAGTGTAATCTGGGATGTCGCTGCAAGCAACGTCACAGCAAGCAGTGCAGGCTCGGGGGCTGGGCGGACACAGGCAGTCGTCCGCAGTGCCAGTACATTCGTGGCATTTAGATCGTTTGAATTTGATGTCAACGCTGTCAATACAAAGCGTAAGAGAGCATTGGAGGTTGTACTCAAGGATGCATCCGGGGTCGACACGGACGTTGTCGAAGGAAGTGCGCTCAGAAGTCGATGATGGAAATTGGAGGTGCACGTCCCGCATCGATTGCGCAGTGGCTGCAGTAACAATACACGACGACACCATCGCCACTGCGTCGGAGCTCATAGAGCATGTCTGGGAAGTCGACAAAGGTGTTCGGATGGTGGGATCAAAAGGAGCAATGGCAAATAGAGGAGAACGAGGACGAAGAGCCAATGGTGTAGTGGGTGGAGAGCGGGCAAATCAAAGTCACAACTGGACTTGGACCAAGTGAACGACCCGTCTGTCAGGATTTGTTTTGGCTAAGCAGAATTTGATATATATTTCAACTCTAGACACAATTCTCACATAATAAGAAAAATGAAACTCACATCCTGAATTAGGGTCTTCAAATCCTAATTAGGATTTATAAACCCTAATTCATAAAAAATGAAATACATATTTTTAAAAAACAAAAATATTTATAGAGGTCTTTAGGACAATATAAGCCTTGGAAAAATTTCAGAATGAAAAAACTAGTAATAAATTGAGAGATATTTAGGATCAAAAACCTCTAGGACACCCTTGTAACCCCTAAATCCTAAATCCTAAACCTGGTTCCTATGAAGTAAGATCCAAGAACTAGTGACTCATCTTGGGGGGTCTCGCTTTTGCGATGCATTGCTTAAATGGATGCATCTAGTGCCATGGTGCTGAACAAATGCCATGCCTCATTCGTCATCACAATCAACTTCTTCCAGACAGCTTAGACTTATTGTGCCTTGACCTTGGTGTCTTGAAGCCGAGCATTGAGCTTTGTCCTTCGCTCTTGGATAGGCGCTTGAAAGCCTTTTAGTGTGAGGGCTAGTTCCCAAACTGTGTCCAATGCAAAGTATTTTAATTCTTCTCTACACACAAATGCACGAGCGTCGAAAGCCCTACGCAAGGAATGATTGCTGCAATCTGAGGAGGAGAGAAGTGCGACATGGCATTGTTCTAGGCTAATCCCACGCACCATGGACAGAGAGTCGGATTAGGATGGTCGTTGTGCAATGTTTGTCTTGGATTGTGGGAACGGCCTTTGAAAGGAGTAATTGTATATTGAGTATAGCGAGTTGTGTTGGCAGTTGTGAGCAATAAAGAGTTGAGATAAATAGTACAATACTAGGGAGTTGAAGGACGATGAATGGCTCATACCTTAGGCACTAGGTATGCATTCTCTCTTGAAATGTTTCACAATTTTTTTTTTGTCTTATATCATATTTTCAATAATGGCAATTCTTGAGATCTTGTTTGTGATCATTCTACTATGTAACTTGAGTAGAACTATATATTGAAAGTACTTAAGAGTCATCTTCATCTTCTTTTTTTGAGGGTGAAGGTTTATATTTGTTTTGAGTATGATTTGAAATAAGTGGGAGAATGTAAATTAGATCAGTAAAAAGAATTAATTAAGAGGACAAGATATCAAAAGATAAGACATTGCGTAGAATGATATTGAGAGGATAGGATATTGATAGGGATATGGTACAGAGAGGGAAGATATACAGAGAGCATAGTATTTAGAGACAAGGTATTGAGTTGCATGGTATAGAAAAGGTAGGGTATCTAGAAGACATGGTATCAAAATGACAAGATACAGAGTGACACATGGTATTGAAGGACGGGATATTATAAGAGATAGAGTATTTAAGGGGCATGATATTTAGGAAGATAGGATATTAAGAAGACATAGTATTGAAGGACATGGTATTCACAAACAGGGTATTGAGTGCTATATTATCAAGAAGGGATGTATCGACAGTAACATGGTATCAAAAAGGTAGGATATTGAGGGAGACATAATATTGAGGGAGAATAGTAACCGGGCACAGGGTATCTAATAGCATGGTATGGAGAGGGCAGGATATTGAAAGGACATGGTATTGATGGAGACAAGGTATTCTGGAGCATGATATTCAAGGACAAGGTATCAAATAGTATAATATCAAGAAGGTAAGATATCGATGGGGACATAGTATCGAGGGAGCAATGTATAGAGGGATACATTGTATAGAAGTATTCATACTATGTATAGAGACAAGGTATTGAAGTGAATATGGTATTGTAGACATGATATTGAGATGAAAAGATATCGATGAGACAGGGTATTGAGGGCAGGATATATGAGGTAGGATATAGTAAAGGAAGGATATAAATAAATACAAGGTATCTAAGACAAGGTATTAAGGACAAGGTATTGAAGGCAAGGTATAAGAATGGAGTATTGAAAGTAAGGTATTGAAAGGGAAGGATATCGACAAAAATAGAGTATTGAAGGTAGTGTATTGACAGTAAGGTATTGAAAGGAAAGGATATCAACAAAAACAGGGTATTGAAGGCAGGGTATTGAGAAGGAAGGATATCGACGGGGACATTGTATGGACGGATAAGGTATTGATGAAGACAGAGTATCAGGGAGAGATTGTATCTAGGCAGCAAGGTATCAATGAAGGCAAAGTATCTAAAGGCAGAATATCAAAACCAAAGATACTAAAGGGGGGAAATGCAATTTAAAGTCTAGAGAGGAATATTGAGGGATTTAGTTTAATTTCCTATAAAATTCTCTTACTTTTACATTACTTGATATCCATAACAAAGGTATGTTTCTATTCAAATGCAACCCTAATTCTATTTCTAACCCTAACTCTAAATCCTAAATCCTAATTAGGATTTATAAATCCTAAATTACAAAAGATAAAACATATATTTTTGAAAAACAAAAATATTTATAGAGGTCTTTGGAACAATTTAAGCTTTGGCAAAATTTTAGAACAAAAAAAACTATGATAAATTGAGAGATATTTAGGATCAAAAACCTCTAGGACACCCTTGTAATCCTAAACCCTAAACCTAACCCCTAAACTCTAAACTAGGCACACCCTTGTAACCCTAAACCCTAAACCCAAAATCCTAAATTACATTTTTTCACAAATTATAAAGCATTTACTAATTTGGATTATCACATTTTTATTTTTTTGTAGACAATATGTAAATTTTATAGTTTTTTTTTGTGCTTAAAAGTTTCATTTATTATAGTTTCAAGGATTTCATTTAAAAGTATGATTTTTTGATGTAGAATTGCATTATTTTCCCACATATATCTTCCCACTCATATTTTCCCTCATATATCTTCCCACTCTGACACCTTTTTTTATACCACATGAATGGTTCAACTTTATTTATTTATAAAAAAAGAAAAAAACGCAACCACCGAACAAAACAAAGAGAAAAACAAACTGATCACAACAAAGTGAGGGGAAGGGTAATCCTCTGGCTGAGCTGGACCGCGTTGCTGCCTTGGTGACCTTCGCGTGGCTGCTTGAAAGTGTGCAGTTTCTAGTGGCACTTTTCGTACTCGCGCAGTGCCGAATCGTGTGGCCATGCTCGTCATGGTCCTAGCGGACCACACACTCGCATCGCATCGTTGAAACCCAATTACAACTGGATCTTTTGTGCAGCCGTCGTGGCACACGTCATTTCACGGCGTTGGATGACGCTAGTATTTCACTCTGCCACTGTCATGGTGCCAAAATTGGTGGGTACTTATGATGGTCGTCGGCCGCAAGTTAGCTTCCAGAGCTTGCAAAAACCTGGCCACCTGGTAGGTTTAAAGGGCGTACTACTAGCGTGATCGACAGGAATCATAAACATGGCTGAGGGTGGACTACTGTTTGGATTTGAGCTCGCCGATGTTCTTGTAGCTGCAGTGCTTATTTCTGTCGTGGTGCTTTACTTCCATGCTGAGGCTCTGCAGCGAAGGCGATGCCCACCAGGGCCTTGGCCTTGGCCAGTTGTGGGAAACTTTTCAGCGTTGGGAGACCTGCCCTACAGAAACCTGCACAAACTTGCCGGCAAGTATGGAGGTCTCATGTATCTCCGGTTAGGTGTGGCTCCAACGTTCCCTTCACAGTCCAACAATTCTGTTGCTGTTGCCTTGTCAGTTGATGTCTCCCATTTGATCCTCCCTATCCTGAGCCTTGAAATGACTTCCAGTGTCTTTGAACTTCTTGGTTCTGTAGTCATAAGCGACTTTGTGCCCTACTTGAGCTTCATCACTAAATTACAAGGACATGCATCCAAGTTTTCCAAGATCCGCGATGTTTCAGACAAACTCACGGCTGATTTTTTCGACCTCGACAGCCACAGAAACAATTATAAAAAAATGAAAAACGACCCAAGCTATGTCCCAGATTTTGAAGATGTACTAATGGAGACGCCATTCGAAAACGGCACTAATCTCCCTGACCAGGACCTTCTAAAGCTACTACAGGTAAGAGATTTTGTGTCTCTCATTTGAGCACTATTTTGCATAATGATATTTCTTAGTCACTGGCGTAGGACGTGTAGGGCATCGAGAGTAACCAACAGCTGGTCTGTATAAGAGGAACTGTTGAATGCTGGGACGGAGACTAGTTCGAACACTTCAGAATGGGCTATGGCCGAACTCATCAGGAGGCCAGAACTGATCGAGCGAGCACAGACTGAGATGGATTCAGTGATAGGTTCCAAGCGCCTCGTGGAAGAATCCGACATCCAACAACTCCCTTTTCTGCAAGCCGTGATGAAAGAGAATTTCCGGCTGCATCCTCCTGCTCCGCTCTTACTTCCCCATGAATCAAGAGAGCCTACAGAGCTTCTTGGATACCATTTCCCGGCAGGAACGGAGCTGCTAGTGAACGCCTTCGCAATCCACCGAGACCCAAGTGTATACGACAACCCTGACAGCTTTGATCCTGATAGATTTCTTGCACGCCCTCACGTGGATCACATGAGCACAAGTGATCCCTACGAGCTCATGCCGTTCGGAAAAGGCCTCCGGATGTGCCCAGGATACAGGCTGGCGAATACGATGGTGGCCTTGATGTTAGCGAATCTCCTCTATGTATTCGACTGGTCTCTGCCGGAAGGTCAAACTGAGGTGGACATGACTGAGACAATAGGCATCTCCGTCCGCAAGAAGCAACCGCTGTTCTTGGTTCCGAAACCCAGATTTGAACTTTCTTTGGAGAGCGTAGCAGAAAATTGATTGCCTCAATCACATTCTGGAAATGCATCTAGGGAGAAAGACAAATATTGTGTTCGGGGGTCTTGAATGTAAAAGTGAACTCAATATTCGCTTCGAGGCCCTGATGCACGTAAGGTGTCTCAATTTGTGAAACTTCTAATATACATAAAGTTGTAAATGCGGCGGGTGGTGGGTGGTGGGTTTAGGTTTCTCTTCTAAAACAGTACAATTGAAAATTAAACCTATCGATTTTTGTATTTGACCTTCAACTGTTCTCACTTTATTCTACAATCGTGTAAGTGCGTTGTAGGTGTCGGGCGACGTTCACTATGCACATATTTGCACCGTGACTTGTGAAGGAAAGACCGAGTACAATGATCAACTTGGCTTATGCATGATTTCCTGGCACATGTGGATGCACAAGTGTCTGACCAAATCATCAAATTAAAGGTCACTGAAGTTGGTTTAAGGTCTCTTGTGCACGTCTAGATAAAAAGTCTCTGGTACATACTATTCTTGTGCTAGTTTGACATTACTGTTGAGCCGTTGTGACAAGAGAGCTGAAGTCAAGGACAATCATCTAAACCAACAGGTTACTTTGTTGCTCCAGTGTTGGTGGTCGCATGCATTTCAGAGTGATTCGCGTTATCTCTAAACAACCAACCTCCTGGTTACAAATCGCACATGCTAATGAAAACGAATAAACAGGACAGAATCATGCCACTCCGATGGAATACCTGTGAGCTTTTGAACGACAAATTGCACTGTTCTTTGCCAAGTAAAACTGTGCAAAGCTAGTGGTGTATAAATCTGAGTCATAAAAACATGCACAATCAATATTGTTGAGGTCGACGGATTGTATACTAGGCTCAATGAGACGACCAAGTTTAACAGATCTCATACCTTACGATTCTATGGTTAGACCCAATGTAATCTATCCTAAACCCTGAACCCTAAATGACATCAAAAATCACTAAAAGTTACCACAAAAGGAAAAGGCTAATCTTTAAAATCCTTAATATCATGTTCTTTTATCTAATTCTAAATTATAAATTAATATTTATAGATTGAATTCAAACTTATAAATGTCTAGTTGAGAATAACAATTAGAGTACACATTTGATGACAATTCAACATACAAGATACAAATGGAGATACTTTAACAGGATTTTCTTTATCAAGATTTTTTGGTGAACGAACTCCTGGAGAAATTGACAGAGGTACTTGACATAAAAGTATTCAACTGCAGGTATTTTGCATGTATTTATATTCCAAATGCCACACCATAAACCATCAACTCTACTCCAATTAAACCAGGTTTATGGTTTAATACATCTAGATTCAAAGGCAGAGATATAATTTGCAGAGATATGATTCACAATCTAATGAAAATCCCATCTTCCAGAATTTGCATCACATTTGAATTCTACCTCAGATACCATATCTGCACTAAAAAGGAAAGACATAATTCTTACCTCATTTAGTTTAGGCTTTGCTAGATTCAAACGCTGAACTCTAAATCCTAGACCTTTGGCGCCGATCAATTGACGGATTCTCTAAGTTCTCTTAATAGCGAGCTGCGCATTTACATTAATAAAATGTATATACACCAAAAAAAAGAATTACAATGACACATTTATCTTCAAGCTAAGACTAATGCTGTAAAAATGTAACAAAATCGACCATCTATTCATGAGGCTGGGATACATGCTTTCGGGGCAGGAGATCATCTACTTGATTGAGTCTCAGTCTTTTTCTACCGCCTCGTGATTTCAAACTAAACTCTAAATCTTCAGCTTCGAAATTCCCTCCCTGTCATGACCAGCCAAAGACATTACAATAGTACAAATGCAATACGCTCTCATACTCATGCTCTTCACAGCACGTTTGAAAAAGAAGACGGAGATTACTTTGAAACAAGTTCTGAAATTCACAAGCAACTTAGGTGGGGCAAGGAAGGAACCTATAGCCCCTTTCCAACCAATAACTCAACGAACATTAACATGTGAACTTGAACTTTACATAAAGTAATTTCACTAGTTAAGTAGGTCAGTTTACAGTGCGGTTTGGTTAAAATCATCGCGAAGCAAACTAATAAATAGACGTCAACGAAAATAGATGCACATACTCGCGAGGTATGGATTACTAACCAATTCCGGTTGCGCATGTACACCACTCTTTTCGTGCTTATCACGAACCACTTTATACGCAAACCGCATTTCACAGCCAGCATGAGAGCAATCATAGGGCTTCACATTCTGATGAATTACTCGGATGTGTGTATCCAAGTTTGACTTCTGCAAATAGAATAAGAGAAGGGTAGACATATCAGAAGAGAGTTAAAAGGCCATCCCAGCCATTGAAAATCTTCGACCACACTACATTAACTTAAATTTACAAAATGAGCCTGGCCAAGAAACTTCTGTGAAGACCAACCCTACAACAAAGTCTCTGCAACTACACTAGTGCACGTATTAAAATCCACAGTACTGTTCATCACACCAGCAACATTTTAAAAATAACGAACAGAAAAACAAGTACATAGTCGTGCTCCCGCATGTACCTTGGTGTAACTGTGCACGCAACCAGGGTGTGGACACCGAATCAAGGTCTGCACTCCTTCATGTGTTTGGGTGTGGGATTTGAGTTTGTTTTTCAACATGGATACACCACAAGTTTCACACACAACATAACAGTGTGCAACCTTGATATGTGCTTTTAACTGAGAGAGGCTATCGAAAATTTCCCCGCAACCAGGTTCCACGCATATTCCTTGAGTGACTGGCGAAGAATCTGCATAAAATTCCCAAATCAAGCAGTCTAAACATTTCGATGTGCAGTTCACAAACGAAAGACATTTACGACAGACACGCCCAGATAAAGCTGCAGCTGAGACAGGTATCGTGCAATTTTGAGAGCTTACCATGCACGCTCTCAATGTGCGTCTGCAGCAAAGATGGATATTTGAACACTTTCCCACATCCTGGTTCAGAACATGTTAAACGAGCATTATCCTCCACTTTGGTTCCTCGCAGTACATTTGAATCCCACTTCTTATGAAGCCTTAGATGCCTCTGAAGGTTCGCATTCACATTAAATGAGAGATCGCACCCCTCCCATGTGCAGAAAAACAGGTTGCCTTTGTGCGTGAGTAAATGACGATTGAGATGGTCTTGACGTTTGTACTGTCTACCACAATTCTCAAATGAGCAAGAAAATGGCCTCTGCATTTCAAAAGAAGATTTATTATCTCAGTAACAACAACTTGGTGACGATCGCAAAAATTCCGTGTTTTCGACGCTGTAACAAAAAAGGATAAACTATAAGTGAGCAGGAAATAATAAAGCAGCACCGGAAGTTCCAAGAGGGTGCGAACCTCCCGAACTAATCCGGCCAAAGGCACCTTGACTTCAGAGTTCGGATGGGATCTGGTAGGCCTTTGGATTTCGCTGCATAGAACCCTGCTCAATTCATGCGAACAACCAAAACCACTGCTTTAAAGAAATGATCTCCTCAAGTGACTTGGCGAACAAACAGTCAGCTGATCACGGCATCATCATACAAAGATTAAGGGCTTTGATCCCAAAACCCTGCTCTGGTAACAACTTCACTTGCGAACAAAGAAGCCGCAAGTGTAAAATTATCCTCAAACAATGAGATCGTCACTACAAAGAAGTTCAACTTCGAACATTAAAATGTTTTTTTTAATTGAAGACGAACGAAACTCAGGAACACTTGTTCATACTTAAGTAAATAAGCATTTCATAGTTTTGTGATCTGTTGGATAGATGTAGATAAAATCAAACAAACCATGCACAAAACTCTTACCTCTGCAGAATGAGCACGCAAGTGTTGCTTCAATAACGACGGCTTCAATGGTGTAATTCCACAAACAACACACTTAAATCTTTCCCTTGGACTCCCTTCTCCGCCTTTACTATCCTCATTGTCCCCCGCGGCCTCGTTAGAGTTACTTTCCTCCGCAGGGCGAACTGAAGAATCGTTTTCCTCCGAATAAATTCTAATTCCTTCTTCGCTATCCTGTGCACGCGATTCCAATACAGTGCAATGAGCAATGTATTCGTAGAAAACAATATTGCGCTGACACCCACTACTTATTCGGACGTAAAAGATTGGAAACATAACAGAAAAAGAAGAAGCATTGTTCTAAATTCAAAAAGCAAATATAACCACGATCTCAGGATTTGAATGTTTGCTAAACGTTACCTGTTTCATCTTTCCATGAAGCGCAACAGCTTGTAGGCCCGACAGAGACTCCAATTGAGGGAGCATGATAGCCCAGTAGTCAACACAAGCACACGTCATAAAGTACCTGCACACAAAACTCGAGGACAAAAGCATGGCTCAGCCAAAACAATGAGACTAGAACGACAATACTCGTGTTGAAGTAACCGCAGTCATTCCAAGCAAACTCATCATTGCTGGCTCCCATAGACGAAACTGTTATGTTACTCTAGCTGCCCCGTAACCTTGATGGTTGGGTGCACTAACAGTATGATTTTATTTTGCCGATGCTGACATAAGAAATGCACCAGTTGTGACGGCTTCTCGTCTCCTTCACATATGAGATACTGCACACCACTTACCACGTCAAACAATGACTGCAAATGCAACAACGACACAATTGAGCAGGGATTGGAAAATGAAACAACCCACATCTAAGCCATACTAGAATCCCAAGCAAAACATCAGCATCTCACTGTTTGTAAAGACAGTAGGCAGGGCGAAAATACCTGCAAAGTAAGGCCGCTGGGTGTTTTAGACTGAAAGGACTCTGTATCTGCAGCTTGTGCCTTAGCCTGAGTGCGCACTTCCGTATGGACATTAATCACTACCTGGGGAGGACGAGACTTCTCGGGCACTGGGAGGCAGGGGCACAAAACCTAAGCTGCCGAGAAAGACCCTAATTCTGACCCACTGATAAAAGTAGACCGGAGACATTGATGGTCGTTCGGAATTATTCTTTATAAAAGAACAGTGTGATCAATAAAAATATGATAAATGTTACTTTTCTCTATGCAACTGCTGGGGCTTTAAAAATAGGGTACGATGTTGGCACCCACTATCACGCGGGACCGTATGTATATGTATGAGTATGCGTGTTAGTGACTGTCCCCCCCCCAGTAGGTCCTCCTCTCCTCTTGCCCTAAACAAGAGCTCTCTCAAACAAGCACTCTCCTGTATCCAAATCAGCACAGAAGCCAGAGAGAGTTTCCTTAGTCTTCTTCTTCTTCTTCTTCTTCTTCTGAATTAAGTTGCTCTGAGATAATTTAGATATCTTGGTTTCAACGCACTTGTGCAACCCCTCGGCTGCGCTCCGCGTTCGTCTTCTCAATTCCCTCCAAAATCTTACGGGCCTCTAATTTGCTCCCTTGACCGCCATGGCTGCGGTTAGAGGCACAATTGCATTTCGGAACTTGAAGCCCCCGGTCTCGGATGAAACTTTACAGGTCTTGGACTCCTTCGGATTCCACACAGCCACCCCTGTTCAAGCCTCCACCATACCGTTGTTGAGTACCTATAAGGACGTTGCTGTGGATGCTGCTACGGGATCCGGAAAAACGCTTGCATTTTTGGTACCCATGGTAGAGATTCTGAGGCGCTTGACCGATCCCCTCAAAGCTTTTCAGGTTAGATTCATCCTCTGTTTTTTTTTGTCCGTAGTCCATCCAACTCCTGGAGAGTTATCTTTCTTTCACCACTTATTCCATCCATCTTTCGGCCGTTCTGATGCCAGAATGTGCGGTTTAACCTTCAAAATTGTAGATTATAGTATCTTCCACACTTCAATGTTATTGAAAACGAAAGATTGTGTCTGAATACTTGCATAGGAATAGCTATGCCGATCACATTCTGATTTCGATATGGGCATGAAGATTTTAGAAGGGTTTGTGGTTTCTGAACGAATCGTTGAACTTACGGTGCAGGTTGGTGCTGTAATTGTGTCTCCTACTCGGGAGTTAGCGTCGCAAATTTATCATGTATTAGGACCATTCTTGACGACATTACGTGGCGTACAAGCGATGCTTTTAGTAGGTGGAACTGATGTTACCGCTGAGGTTGCAAAGCTGAAGCAGACTGGTGCGAATGTGCTCATCGGAACCCCTGGACGATTGTATGACATTATGGAGCGCGTTACTGCTCTGGATTTCAAGAACCTCGAGGTACTGATACATCTACTGTGGGCTGAAATGTGTTCTAAATTTTAGTCAGTGTTCTTCAGTTTTGCGAAATGTTCACTGACAAAGAAAAATGAACGCACTTTTCATTAATTCAAACCACATGTCTGTGTGCGTTCAGACCAAAAACCCTTAGTAACCTCCATTACTTTGAACAATGCCTTTCTAGCTATCCAGTTCTTTCTTTTGAAATTCCTCATCTTTGCTTGCATGTCGCAGCGGGCGTATTCATTTTCAAACTCAACCAAATTCTTGAGTCGAATTATGTTCTGACATGAAGGGATGTAGGTTTTGATTTTAGATGAAGCGGACAGGCTTCTGGACATGGGATTTCAAAGGCAATTGACAGCAATTTTAGGCCATTTACCCAAGCAGCGTCGAACGGGTCTGTTTTCTGCCACGCAGACAGAAGCTGTCGTGGAACTAGCGCGGGCTGGGTTACGGAATCCTGTCCGTGTGGAAGTGCGCACTCAGGCTAAGGCACAAGCTGCAGATACAGAGTCCTTTCAGTCTAAAACACCCAGCGGCCTTACTTTGCAGGTATTTTCGCCCTGCCTACTGTCTTTACAAACAGTGAGATGCTGATGTTTTGCTTGGGATTCTAGTATGGCTTAGATGTGGGTTGTTTCATTTTCCAATCCCTGCTCAATTGTGTCGTTGTTGCATTTGCAGTCATTGTTTGACGTGGTAAGTGGTGTGCAGTATCTCATATGTGAAGGAGACGAGAAGCCGTCACAACTGGTGCATTTCTTATGTCAGCATCGGCAAAATAAAATCATACTGTTAGTGCACCCAACCATCAAGGTTACGGGGCAGCTAGAGTAACATAACAGTTTCGTCTATGGGAGCCAGCAATGATGAGTTTGCTTGGAATGACTGCGGTTACTTCAACACGAGTATTGTCGTTCTAGTCTCATTGTTTTGGCTGAGCCATGCTTTTGTCCTCGAGTTTTGTGTGCAGGTACTTTATGACGTGTGCTTGTGTTGACTACTGGGCTATCATGCTCCCTCAATTGGAGTCTCTGTCGGGCCTACAAGCTGTTGCGCTTCATGGAAAGATGAAACAGGTAACGTTTAGCAAACATTCAAATCCTGAGATCGTGGTTATATTTGCTTTTTGAATTTAGAACAATGCTTCTTCTTTTTCTGTTATGTTTCCAATCTTTTACGTCCGAATAAGTAGTGAGTGTTATTTTTACCTGAAATTTTTTTTGTCTGTCTCACTTAGGCAGCTCGAGAGAAAGCACTTGCAATGTTTTCTGGGATGACAGCAGGTTTGCTGGTGTGTACCGATGTGGCTGCAAGGGGTCTTGATATTCCAGGTGTCGATTGGATCATCCAGGTTAGTTGAATGTTATTTGTTTTTTCTCCCTGATGTTATATTCAAGCTTTCCTAATGAATTTAGAACCAAAGTTTATGGTCTTCTGGGGGGATATCATATGTGTGTTTTGAACAGGAGCACTGATTTGATGTCCTTGTGTATAATTATGCAAATACACTTTATTGCAATGAGTGACTTTAGTAAATTTCCTCATGTGGTTATGTTTTCATTTGTGTTGATAAAGGGAAGTACTATCTGTTGTCTTCCTTTTTATCGGGGGCACCTTTTTGTGCTCCTGTTTTTGTGAAACCGCAGAAGGATTGTTAATTTTAATTTAGGTTTTTTTTTTTTTTTTTTTTTTTTAATTTTTGGATTTGATGTTTTAATGGTGAAATCCAGTATGATCCTCCACAAGACCCAAATGTGTTTGTTCATCGTGTGGGTAGAACTGCTCGAATGGGTCAGTCTGGTGACGCGCTTGTGTTTCTTTTACCGAAGGTATGGACGTGGTGGATGACGTTGTGAATCACTGTGTGTTTGAAGCAAGTAATTGAGCGTATATTTGAGTCATGAGGTTTTCGTTTCATATATTTATGAAAAGAATTGAACACTGCTTTTCTATTCGGCTTCACTTTTACAATAGCCCAAATTCTGCAGTCATCACGCGCATGGCGGCATGTGAAATGTTATTTTAGCATCAAAATTGGCTATTATTTCACAGGAAGATGCATATGTGGAGTTCCTACGTATTCGAAAAGTGCCTATAGAAGAGAGGCCGAAATGCAGTTCAGTTCCCAACATTGTGTCTGTGGTAAGTATCATATTTTTCTTAAGTTCTAACTATCTTATCTTTCATTGATGCACGATTCTGTGCTGATATATATTAGTGTACACTTCGGATCGTTATTGTAAGTGTTATTTTGGTTTGTAATTCTTTGCCAAACTTGTCCTGTCATTTGGTCGATGGTTATGAGGACATACAAAGTACTCTCACGCACTTGGGAGGTTGACGCCACCTTTACAGCCACCGTGTACTTGTGTGGTTTGCGAGTTAGTGCATCGCGAAGAAATTTTTTATTCTTCGTCCAACAGAATGTTCATCGCATTTTACTGCAGTTGCGTGGAGCTGCCGCTAAAGACAGGGACATCATGGAAAAAGGATTACGGGCTTTTGTATCTTACATACGAGCTTACAAAGAGCATCATTGCACTTTCATATTTAAGTGAGTAACGTACATTTTATTAAGTCATATTCATGCTGTTAGCTTTAGTAATTAATTATTTACAGCAAGTGAAATTTCTGAATGAACCTAGTTTTGGAGCACTAGTTGCCATGTGCTTTTTTCATCTTCTAGCTGGAAAGAAAACTTCGTGGTAGTAGTGTGTGTTATTACTGGAATTTTTGGCTTTATCATGCTAAGTTACTGCTGCAAATTGTTGGAGAGTGACTATATATATATATATATATATATATATATGTATATTCTCACCTTTGCTTAAAATAATATTGTTTGGTTTGGTCACACTAGATGGAAGCAACTGGAGGCAGGGCTGGCAGCCATGGGGTTTGGACTTTTGCAGCTGCCATCCATGCCTGAGCTAAAGAGAAATGTGCTGTCAATAGCGGGGTTTCAACCTGCCAAAGGAATCGATGTGTCTTCTATAGCATTTAAGTAAGGATCCACCCTTTATTCATTTTTACTACTTCTGTCGATATCTAGCTCAAGGAGTGTGTGAAGTATGTTGTAGCCTTTTTGCGTTTAATCTTTTTTAATTTTAATGTGCTGTTAGGGAAAAAGCCAGAGAAAAGCAGCGTCAAAAGAATCTGGCAAATAAACCACCACGACAGCCTAGGGAACCAGAGCCAGACCGTGCACCTAAGAAGGAGCGAAAAGAGACAGCTGAAAAGCGACGCTTACACCAAAAGGTAGAGGATGACGAAGAAATGAACCGGGAGTACCGACTTCTGAAAAAGTTGAAGAAGGGTACTTTGTCCGAGTCGGAGTATGAGCAGGTCATGAGCATGCCAGATATGCAATTAGTAGAACCTAGTAGTAATGTTGATGAAGTACAAGATAGTACCCATTTGAATGGTAGGGGAAGTGATTCTAAATTATCTAAAAGATTCGCACGATCAACTAGTAGGTCTCAAAGTAAGTTCAAGAACAGGTCAGTTGCTAGTACTTCCAAGAAGCGGCAAGCATAGAAGAACGATTGTATTTCCGCTCTATATCGGCATGGAAGAACTATTTAAACATTGATTTGGCTGCACTGTGTTCAACAAATTGTTTACGACACTGCATTCTGATATCGATATCGATATCGTCATGTTTGAATCTGCGGTTAGAGGAGTTTGCTAGCCATGGGTGCTTGAACATGAGTTTCACAGCTGAAACGCAACATGTTTCTCACAGGCAGTTCACTTAGAGGTTGTTTCATGCCCAATTCGTCAAATCAACCTCCAGGGCTCTTCTCACTTGCATCAAGTGAAACCTAAACTCGCACTCAATTCCTGGAATTTGAGAATTATTGTCAACAGGAGCTATCGAGGCACAAAAATTTTGCAAAGCACTCGCTTGACAACCAGTTACAACACTACACCCAAAAGTACAAACTAATATCTCAAACACACCACCATGCACATCAGATTTTTCATTAATTTCAATCAATACATCATAAAAAATAAATGTTGACTTGATAAATTTAAGACTTGATATGAATGAATATAACATCATTCAAAACGCTTCAGAAAATGATAAATTTCTATTTTAAAGTTAATTAAAGTTAGAGTTGATAAATTGCAAGTGAATTTAAATATTTTAATCTTAATTTTAAATATATATATATATATATATATATATATATATATATATTTTAATATGTAAAAAACAGAAAATAAACACATCCATAATAATTATTTTATTTATTAATAATTAATAGTTGACACAAATATATTTTTAATTAAAGATATTTTAAATGTTATATTTAATTAATTACTATTTTATACTTTTGTACAATAAGTATTACACTTATGACATTGAACATAACAAAATTGTATATGTACATTCCAAGAGGACTTTTAAATTCTAGCTATGAAATTCTATGCAAGCACAAAAAGAATGACTCTTCAATATTCCAAAAAAAATAAAAAGTAAAAAACCATATTTATAATATATCAATACAATAAAAACTATATCAAAATTATATTATACCTGTATAGACCTATATTTAAAATATATAATCACATTATATTGCTATTTTGTTAGTAGTTTTATTAATGAGCTGGAGGAACTTACAATGAGAAAATAGAAAATTAAATAATATATAAGTAAATAAATAAAATATTTTAAAGTATTGATTTTTTTAGTATATACTATATATGAATTGACAATTTTTTAGGTACTTTGTAACTACATATCTAGCAAAACAAAACTTATACTACTTAGAAAGTAAAAAAAATTAGATTTTGTTTAATGTTCTTTTTAATTTTGATGTGAATGGTTTAATCTAATACTGATGTTCTACCATTTAAATTATTAGCGTTAGATTGTTTAAAACAACACATAATGATATACTAATAAATTCTAAATTTAGATCTTATTAATAAATATTGCATAAATTTGAAGAATCGTCAAAGTTATTCTAAAACTTGATTTTGATTTACTAAAATTGCAATATTTTAATCTTGTCTTTCACAAGTGTGAATTTGATTTGAAACTAATATATGTATAAAGAATATTGCAGAAGTTTAATCAACAACTGTTACCATTACCCTTTCATAGAAAAAATCTTTGAATCAGTAATTTAATTTCAGTAACTTCAAGACATATATTTTAAAAGAAGATTATTTGAAAGTACAACTTGAAAATAATTATTACTTTTGATCCTTGTAAGAAAGAAGAAATATCAGATAATATCAATTTGTTGTAATCAGGTCTTCTATATAATTTCAATTCTTGCACCTGATCAATAATAAATAATACATATAAATATATATATATATATATATATAGATATTCGTTCCCATACATAGTATTTATGTTGTGGAATGGGCAAGAGAATGGAAAAGTTAATTCTTAGGCTCCAGCGTGTGCAATTACCCTGTTTGAAAAGACATAACTGGTGATTGAAGACAAAGTTTTCTCTAAAAAGCAATTTCGTTACATTCGAGTCGAATAAAAAGTTGGGTTGAACTGCTAAACAGTAAAAGCACAGCCCCATCTGTAATCGACATTTCAATAAAGTAGCTCATGGTTCAAACGATGTATGGAAAACTTTGCGCTTTCAAATGCAACGGAGAATCTGAAAATGTAATTACAGATGTAACCAGAGTAATACGTCCTGTACAGTAAATAATTGAATAAATGATACTGTGACAATCTAAACTGTCTTCAAAGTGATCAGGTGGACGAAAAATAAAATAGTTAATAGATGCTTACAATCTCTGGCCCATGTAGATGCTCTCATGATGGGACATAAAGAATAAAAATGGCCGAATCAATTATCTACTCGAACAAAGGCTAACCACCAGAACTCATGTCCAGGTATCAACGCTGTGTACGCATACCGGTTGAATTTTGATTGGGGCATTTGAAAATGCGCTCAAGGTAGCGCTTAAGCAGGATCTGATGGGTTTGTCGATGTCAGGTCGAATGGGTTAAGCACCTCGTCAGGTACTTAAGCTAACAATGAGAAAAATGCATTGTGAAGTCACGAAACCTTCCAGATAAATATAAAACATTGGTTACGACGCATCAGCAGCGAGAGGGACCTCGTTGAGCTCCATCGAAGTTCCAGACCGTCTATTACAACGCCCTATAATTTCAGCCTCCCTTGCAATTTGTAAGTCTGTTGGCCATACTCTTTGCAATAAGGCTTTAACAAAAAAGCGGGGGATCGATGCTATGATCACAGTGAGGAGGAGACTGAGCCAGGCACGAATATCAGCAGCTACATGAAAGAACACCCTGCAACCAGCCCAGGAAGGTCAATAAGAAACCTTCACGTTTATAGTCTTATTTCCCAGGGTTCTAAAGGAGCTAGTACATTCATAAAGAAAAAACAAATACCAACATTTGCTAATCAAGAATACCAACACTAGCGTAAAGATAATTCTAATTCTGAACAAAATTTAGCGTACCAATAGTGAGGAAGTTGATCAGCTGATTGTATCGCGTCCATGACAATCTGGCAAAGGAAGGTGATAATTATAGATCCCCAAACAGCTGCATGCGTAAGCCAGTTCCAACGTAGAATATCCATTGCTAAATGAATATTAACTAGCAAAACTACATCTATAATCCAGACGCACCCAAGGCTGAAAAGGTCGATTTCAGATTCATTGTAAACAAAAAATGGGACATAAAAAAGGACGAGGCTTTGCCAAAGCGTATCCAGCATGGTAGCCCAGAAGAGCCTTCGGTTGTAGCCTTCCTCACACTGACCAGAGCCATATAGGGAAGGGTAGTCTAGTAAGGTCTTGTGGTTCAAATTCTGGTCCAATACTCCAACTACAATTGTAGGTAGAGAAGTGTACAACAGAGAGTAAAAAACTAAGTTCCAATCAGTAAGAGCGGATTGGGGAGAATATGCTGTATAGAATATGAACCTGGAGTTGACAACAAATGGGACATCAGCAAAAATTCCAACTGCATCTTCAAAATTTATTGGTACGCTAAAGTTAATTCAGAATTGGAACTAACTGTCCGATATGCAAACTGCATGCGTAAGCCAAATTCGGTAAGTGCTATCCCCGTAAACTGATAACAATGTGTCCAAACTTGCATACAATTGAACAAAAGTAGATCATGAAAATAACTCTCACTACGGGGTCCAGTAATGCAAATGAAGATGGTACGATGAGATGTCCTTGACTAACCAGAAAAGCATCAGGACAAAAACTGCATTTCGGTAGAAATTGTAAAGCACCATATAACCCAAGCGCTGATAATTCCAGTGACCATGCACTAGGAGAAAGCGCTTCAAGAAGCGAAACTGCCCCATTGCAAAATCAGACGCCATAACTGCTTGTCGCCCTTCCTGCCCGCTGATGCCAACTCCAACATCAGCCATTTGTATCATTGACACGTCGTTTGCCCCTGAACAATAGCAAGCCTTGTGACATGTAATAAAGTGCACTAAAGACACATGTAAGAGAACCTGAAGTTTTGAAGAGCTTCAACTTACTAGTAACACGAACAAAAATAAAATAAAACGAAATAAATAAATAAAAACCCCTTTTGTGAACTTGTCACCTCTTCTAGTGTTATGGGAAACACTACTTTCTGAATTGCAGGAACATGAAGATAATGGTCTTCACTTGAAATCACATAATGATTATTAAACTCTAACTTCATTCGAACACTAAAAAATACGCACTACGTATTCCAGGTCGCAAGTGCTACCTATGAGCAACAATGTCAGCGTGAAATAATTGCAACATCTATTGTACAAAAAGCTGGAGTTGCCAACTTACCATCACCAATGGCCAACGTCATATCTTTGCTTTTGCGTTTCACAAGAGAGACAATACCCGCTTTCTGAAGAGGTGCAACTCGACAACATACGACAACCTTACATGCTGTTGCAAGCTCAAAAAGCTGTCCCACCACAAACCCAACAACCAAACTGAATATCCATCAAATTTCAGAAGCTAAGCTCATGTACAGGTTTAGAGCTTTGATTACCATCAAATTAATTAGAAACGTTTTAAAATTTGAACTTAAACACTGCAAAGACAGTAAACTAACAAGCATACGTACTCACAACAAATTCAACATTGTCCAAAGCTTCAATGCTTTAGAAGATGGAAGTTCAAATAGAAAAAGAACAGTGCTATATCCAATGTGAGGAGAAAACAAACATACCTCTTGTTCCAACTCCTCCGACAAAGCATGCACAAGACTGTTTCCGTCTATAATTAGTGCTAAAGACTGGTCAGATTTTGGTTCTAGAGGACCTTCGCCACCACCAACATCGTTGCATCCAGAAACAGACGTTGACCAAGCCGTGACCACAGAACTTCCAAGGGGCTTGTTACTATTTGTGCGGTCATCATCATCCAAAGCATTTCGCCTTCCAAAAGAAAATCTTCGGCTTTTTGAAGCAAATTTGAGACCGTATGTGGCTTTTGCGCTCCTAATTGCTTCACGACATCCTTCCTTGGAAATTTCATTAATAACTATCTGATGCATATCCCGTGTAAGTAATAGACAAGAAAAGCCAATGCTGATAGCAGTCTCCTGTTTATCCCCTGTTAACACCCATACCTTGATGCCTGCCTCTCTGAGTAAGCCTATGGTTTCCGGCACCCCCTTCTACAGACAAACATCCAACAATCAGGACAAGCGCATTAGCATGACCAGGTTCGAAGTCGGTTGACGCACAAGTACGAGACCCCGCGGCAAAGAAGCTCTATAAATGAGAACTCCACAAGCAAAAAATATCTCAAGCGAACCAGTCCACACCGCTCAGCAACAGCTGAATACACTGACCTGTAATTTATCCTCAATCCCAGTGGCTCCGAGCAAAACCAAATTTTTCTCTACCAGAGCAGCTACGTTACGAAGCATGTCTACTCGATCTGTGAGAGCCGTACTAGCTTTTGCGTAATGAAAATGCCAATCCTCAACCTGCTTCAAACGACCATGTAATATCATCAGTATCAACTTCAATGACCATGCCCACGATCGGAACTATCGATAACTACACCCTATATTGATCATCAATGTCAGGGACAAAGACCAAAAACACCTAACAGTTAAAAATTTGAAATATGTGATCTAAACAGCTACTGGAATGGGTGGATACAGAGAATCCGCCAAACTTAAAGCACCACAACGAACAGCCATATATTTTGAATATGGTTGGATAAACGCTCTTGAAATTTTCACACATGTCAAACCAATCTTTAAATTACTAAGTATGAAGGTTCATTGTTGACATCCCGTGTAAAAAGAAAGGAATAAGAGTAGAGAATCTGCAATACTTTCCGAAGCCATTTACTAATACTACTCATTAAACGGATGCTTACTATTGACTCATATTAATTGATCATAGTACTTTTGCTTTAAAATGCATCTTCTATACATCATTGAAGCGTGTCTCATTAGTCTTCAATAGTTAATCTCTGTCCGATAACTATGAATAAAATATACAACAATATGAACTCTATGGCACTCAAACAACCTTGCTACACTTTGGCTAAGAAACATGGGCATGGTAAGAACTGTACTTCTCTTTGAGTGAGCTCCTTTGAAGCCACAACCAATGTCCGCAGCCCTTCCCTTGAATAATTGTCCAGATGTCCCAATGTTCTAACAAGGACCTCGGCACAATGCTTCACTTCGGAAAGTGAATCAACCTTCATAGACTCACTTGACTCGACGACCTCAGATGAGTTGCCAACAATCTCCAACACCGTCGTATCTGCCCCTTTCACGAGAAGTTTGATGCTTTTATCAGGACATTCTACGATCACTGACATACGCTTTCGAACACTATCAAATTCGTGCATCCCCAGAACTTCGTACCTGCCCATCAGTGCAAGTTCTATTATCGCTACGAGTTCAACAATGCAATCAGATACCACGTTAACAATAAACCTGAACTGCTGAATATGTACATAGGGTTGAAGAAAATCAATGAGGCATAGGATCAAAGATTGTTTTGAGTCGACAAATACTAAGAGCGTTATTGCCACTGCTTCATTGTTAAATCTGAAATACACGTAACGCTTACGTTTGAGTTTCACCCATAATATCAATAACAATTTTAGCCGAATTCCGCTCAATAAGAGTATAGCCATACGCAGCAGCTGCCGATACGAGTGCTTGCTCATCGGGAGACTCTCCTTGATATTCTATAACTCCTACATCTTCTTCACCATTAGCAGCGTGCATTACAAGCTCCCCCGTGGATGACATCTTAACTCTTGTCGGAACAATGGTATTGCATGCTGCCAGAACGAGCATATATTCATGAACCATTTTTCTTTCCTGGGTGTGAAGAGGGCTTTGAAGAAGCCTTACTAACCTGGTATCAACCTTGGATCCCATTTTGGGTCTCCACTTCTTTAGAAAAGCTGATACACCGCCAAAGAAATAAAAAGTCAGTCGAGTAGCAGCGATCACAACCCAAATTGACTGACACAACCCACTAATAGGTACACAAATTTACCAAGTAAATGAAGCCACGAATTAGACTCGTCAAGTAGACCCATGGTAAAAGAATCAAGCGACAGTTTCATAAGATACCATCAACACCACTTGAAAGGCCTGGAAGGTTGGTTGCAACTAACCTTCAGAGACACAGGTCTCTTCCTCTTTAACCGAAGACTGCTCTGCAGAAGCATCACTGTAATCGATGCCATTTACACTAGCTGAGTGGAACTCCATTTTATTTTCTGTCAGCGTTCCCGTCTTATCAGAAAACATGTACTTAATTTGCCCCAGATCCTCGTTGATGTTCAAGGCTCGACACTGAAATCTTGTATTAGTGTCAGCATGAAACATCTCCATATCCCTGATCATGAAGTACGACTGGCCTAAACGAACAACTTCCATAGAAATATACAGAGAAATTGGGATCATAATTTGAAAGATGATAATAAAGCTCAGGAATCCAATTATTCCTTCACCATATACGCCAGAATACATATAGCCATCAGTCAGCTTGTAAAACTGAATGATCGTTAACGAAGACGAGTTTTGCTCAACCCAAAGCCCCATGCCCAATCCACCCGCGAAGCATATAGTTACGAGAAATACAACTAACCACCCAGTTTCTCTGTTCATGTATTCTTCCAATCTGCTCCTCTTTGACTGTGCACCTGAACTGTTAAGCATTGCCTTGGTCTCTCCACCTGCGTAGACAGCAACTCCAACAATCCATGCTGTGTTCTTCACCTCACAGCCTCTAAGAATAATGTTGTTTGGACCAAGTGGTATCTGAAGTCCATTCAAATCCATATAAGCAGTGAACTCATATATGTTCCTGTTAGGAGGCTCACAAACAATAACACCCACAATTGGGCCTCTCTCCGGATGTTGGTCGGCAGTTTCCTGCCTCGCATATCTGCTCTTCAAGTTGGACTCTCCATCAAGATTAAGTGTTTCAACATAAGCAACACCTGACGGGTCACTTGTCCCAAGTAGAACCATATCACATGGGACAGCTTCATTGGCATGAATTTTGAGCATTTCTCCGACCTGAATACGTCTCCATCTCTTGGGGTGGTAGTGCCCATCCTGAAGCACAACCGACGTCCTGTTATTTTCTTCTTTGTCTGATTTGTGTCGTCCCCAATCCTCGTATCCGTCTTTGATAGCAGTTATTACCAACACAAAAACAAGAGGAAAAAGCGACGCGGTTCTTCCGAACACTGCGAGAGCTGGGATTTGGTTTAATATTACGATGATGAGGAAATAAATGTAGGCGAAACGATGGAACTGTTCAAACAAATTCCTTGGAAAAAAGGACAGCAATGTGTACTTGCTAGTGCGGACTTGATTGCCAGACATCTCATAGTTCTCATTTGTTCGGACTGGATTGTTGATGAAGACGATTCTTCTTGGAATTTCCTCTTTAATTGAACTCTTTTGTCCTGCAGAATCCTCTGGATCTCCAAGTTCATCATCTAAACCATTCCAGGGTGGCCTTGGTGAACCTGCTCCACTGGGAGGCGCCCGATGTTTAGGGTCTGACTCGGAGTTCAGACTTTCACGCACAGGCAGAAGACCCCTAAGTTTTCTGAGAGCAAAAGGCGTCTGCTTTCGATTCTCTTTATGCTTACTGCTTTCACTGGTTTCACCAGAACGATCTGAAGCTACATCGTTTAAACGTTTCTGAGGAAAAGACTGCATGGTTGGTAAAGATACATGTGGATCTGAAAAGGATACACTTGGTAAACTAGACGAAGAACGATCATGACCAAAGGAGGAATGTTCCGATTGATATGAAAGGAATGATCCGTTAAGGAAGGTGTGGGAAGGGCTCTGGCTGAGATAAGGATCCTTATCATTGGAAACACAGGGAAGACAGCTACTTCCAACCGTGCTTACAGGGGACGAGGGACTACTAGGCGTTGGTGAGTGAATAGAGGATTCAGGAATCATCAAGAGTGGTTTCATTGTAGTCATGGTCTTGTAGAGGCAATGAGACAACTAAACTTCACTGTAGAAGTCTGCCTTTTCATCAAATGCAGCCTCTAGTACTTAGAGGGAAAAACATCTGATGATTTTTAAAAGCCCACGACTGGCGATTGGGTTGATCATTAACCTTGTAAGAAAAGCATTGCGTCAATTTCATGCAATATTGCATGCGTCTGTATCTGATAAACATCTTAGACACGCCGCTTGCACCCAGATAAAGCCTGAAACAAACCACAAGAGTCATAAAGCAGAAGGGATAAAAGCAGTTGCTGAAATCGTTCTTAAAACGAAGTCGTAACATGGGTGGTTACAAGGGCAGAGATACCAGGCATTCAATGGGAAATGTGCTACTCACCTTCAACTACGCACAGTTCTTGAAGATTAACAGGAGTGATCAGGAAAATAAGCATGTTATTAGCATGATAGAGAATAGTACCAACTCGCTAACCCTCCATAACAAAATTTCGCACCGACCCACCTCGTAGGTCTGCTTCTCACAAAAGCAGTCATATTGCAGTAAATATCATCATGAGAAGACATCCTTCATTAAGACACGCATCCTTGCCCACCGCTCTTCATACTAGCGCGCATTTCTTGAAGGGACAAAAACGAAAACAACAAATTTATCTATCAGTCCCAACAATTCGAGAACATCAGATGCATAAATTAAGTCTTGCCTGGATAATCATGCCGAGGATCAACGGAAGAATGGGCAGCAAAAAGGTAACAAGGAACCTTCATAATATGGTAACAACAGCGATGCAGGATCTATGCATTGATTCCAATGATTGAAGACCAGCAAGATTTTACCAACCAAATTCACTAAGAGCACAAAACTCCTGCAGCCAGGTTTAGAAATAACAATTTTCTTTATACAATGATTTTATTCCTCTCTGCATTGCCGCACTCTCTGTCTTACTACTTGTAACATAACAAAAATGCACAGACCCTGCTAGTTCGGCACCGCACACGGATCAAACTCAAATTTACGCACAGTCGACAAGATCCCAACTAAACCTAAAATATATGTTCACAGAAGAAGAATAATTGTGACACAAAGCATCTCTAGCATCTACTTGCTCCTAGCAAGCCATAGAACCAGATGGCATAATATCAATGCATTGGTAGCTCTCAGCAAAAATTAGATTAAAAAGAAATAAATAAATAAATAAATAATAAAGCAAGAGAGACAGAGACCGTGGAAAAAAATAAGAAAAATAAACAACGACAACAACGACAACAACAACAACTACGTATCTTTCCATCCAAACCGAATCCCGAGCTATGAAATTTCAGCAAGACGAGCAAGGGCACAACTCCGACGTGACCTGAAAGAGGGCACCGCGACACAATGGTGTAGAAAAATGGCAGGGAAAGGAGGGCAGGTTGAAAGACGCACCAGCATAGTTGAAAACCAAATGTGGGGATGCAGAGTAGACGTAAGCAGTAGATCTAAAAGGCACAGGGATGGGGATGGGGACAGTGGAGGTGGAGATGGCGGTGGCGGTGGAGGAGGGTGCGGGGACGGAGGGAAGGAAGGAGCGCCATGGCCAGACACAGAGAGAGGGAGAGAGAGGCATCAGTCAGTCAGTGTGTTGCAATCATCAGTGCCATGCCAGTCAGTGAGTGAGTTAGAGTTAGTTCATCATCATCATCAACAACCAACTCTCTGGACACTACTGCTACTACTGCACGGGCTTAGGGCACTGCATCCATCCCACACAAGACAGAGAGAGAGAGAGAGAGAGGCGGCGTGTGAGTGTGTGTGCGGGTTGGTTGTTTTCAGAGCACCCTTCGTCTTCCATCCTTCGTGCCTCCTTCGTGCGCACTTGGCAATTGGAACTTGAGCTGTGGAGGGAAGAAGAGCTACACCCCCACCCCACCCCCTGGTCTGCCATCATCGACCATTCCCCTTCTTCATCCGTCCATCCGTTCCATACTTCCCATTCCTGTAGATACGTCTTCCCACATTGTTGTTGTTGTTGGGAATATATTTCCCCACATACATAGGTATGTGCTCAAATATGCATGCACCTCCCTCACCACCTCTGCTTCTTCTTCTTCCTTGCCCATGTATTCCAACATCATGCCTTGCTTTCATTCCCTGCCACCAACTTGCATGCATGCCTTCTTCACCTTCAATATTACTATTACTCCCTCGTTCATTCCTTGCCTTGCCTCTCTCCAGCAGATACCCAACTCAACTCAACCACTCCTATCATCCACACTTACACATCCCATAGCTGCATCATCCCACTTCCATACATCTTCTCAAAATCCCTCCCTCCCACAGTTCTTACAGGTGCGCATCCTTTTATTACTATTACATGTATCTCAAACAAGTGTGGTATGTTTGAAGAAAACACAATTACTTATGCTCTTAAAGTTTTGTGATTACATGATGATTTGAATGTGATTTTAGACATGTAATGACAGTTTGTTTCTTGCTGTGTTTTTGAAAATGCTTAAATAAGACAATACATGTCCAAATCCATCTCATCCCCACCATGTCCCAACTCCACATAGTCTCAATCCACCACACACATCCCCCCCCCCTCCCTAGTCTCCACCTCCTCTAGTTTATTTGACTATCATTTGCTAGAAATATAAACTATTTTTATCTAATTAAAACAAAAAATAATTTAAATGTTTAATTTTAATCGTTTATTTTTAAATATTCTTAAATTTAATATGAAATTAAAAAAATAATAATTAGGTTTAAAGTTTTTGAGTTTAGAATAAAAAACTTTATAATCATTTGCAGCATTAAGTTTGTAGTAATGTGATATTATTATTTAAATCATGACATAAACATTTTTGTAGATGAATAACAATAAAAGCCCATAAAAATTTAATAAAACCTTAATATTGATTTTAAATTATTAATTTTTTTGCTTAATAAATATTCAAAAAAATCTAAATATTAAAAAAGAACAAAAAAGAACTATAATTTCTTCAGTTACAAATAATAATTAATTTCTATTTCTGATTTTAAAATTAGAAGAATAAATAATAAAATCAAAAGAACCGCAAGATAGACACCTCTTTTTTATTATATATAAATCCCAAGTGCTATGAAATCCCATGTACACAAAATATTTATTTATTTATAATTTATTTTTTTATTTATTAACATTGAAGGATTTTGGAGTAAATTCAGACATAACGAATTTGTATGCAATTGCTTATGGAATTTTCTTTTCACTTTTTGTTGAATAAATTTAATAAAATTTCATATGAATTTAATGTATACCATTAAAAATATGTTTTCTTTATAATATTAATAATACAAATTTAGATAAAATATTAAAATATTATTTAATTATTTAAAAATAAGAATAAGATATCACTTAAATTATTTCTTTTGTATCAAAGCTAAACCAAATTATTCAACATCATGGTGATGGGAATTTTACATAAAATATTAGTTTGATCCAGAATGTATATAATTTAACTTCAAAAGAAAGACTACAAGGACTTTACATAGTTCAAATAATAATAATAAAATTTAAATTAATAATTTATAAAATATCTTATATTTATAATAAAATAAAAACGTGATTATTTTTTTAAAATAAATTTATAATTTTATTTTTTTAATATTAATATCACTAAATATTAACTTTAATATTTAATTATATTAATTTAATTAATTATTAGTACTCAGCCATCTTTGTATTTGTGCCTATTTACTCTTATGAGCTATTTTCTTCTTATTCAAATTAGAAATTGTCCAATTCTTATGTAGGTTGGATACCTCCAACTTTCTTTCTACTATTCATACCTTATTAGTTCAATTTTTATATATGTCAATTATTTCTAATTTATTTTTTATTACTTATAATCCATTATAATAGATAAAATTAATAATTATATTTATTTTAATTAATTAATAAATAGAAATAAGTAAATTTTATAATATCTTAAAGATAATTTTTTTAGAAATTTTATAGATACAAATTTGACTTTATATGTGTTAATTGATAGGTTGAAAATTTGGCCAACAATTTGGCCATGTGTCACACATACTGGTACCTTGTGGTACAAATTAGTCATATGGTATATATGTAAAAAACTTATCTTGGAAGTTAGATATGTATCTTAAAGTTGAATACATATTGGAGGTTAAACAAAATGTTATCACATAGCTCTTAATTAAATAGTATATATAAAAGTAAGAGTAGAGTCTTCTTTATTCTTGTCAAGACCTTTCTTGTTCTTAGTCTTGTTTCAAGAGTCTCTAGTCTTCTTGTCTTTAGTAATGTCCATTCTAGTCTTAATGATATACCATTTTTAAGTCATTATCTACTCTTTTTTATTGATACAAGAGTGTATTGATTATTTTTTTGTTTATAATTCATGTCTTTGATACATATTGATCTATTTTTTTCTTAAGTTGTTTCTTTTTAACTATCTTCAATTAACAAATCCAAATAATATTTTTTCTATTTTATTTGAAATATAACTCTAGACCTTCAATAAAGATAATTTAAAAGGATAGTGGTGAAATTCAATGCTTTACATGTATGACTTAGATTTATAAAAAGTTTGGATCTATTCTCAAATTAAATGAATTTATAACAATAAAATTCACACTTTAACCAAAATTATAAGGTAAGTTTTATTATAAATTCTTGTAAGAATAATATGAATAAATAAAATATTTTTATTTGATAAATGATAAAATATAAAAATATATAATAAATATTTGTATAGTTGATTCTTTTATCTTTTCAATAATATAAAAAATGAGTAAATCCAAATTACTATAACAAAGTTATGTTAATTTTAAAGTAAAAAATAATTAATTATGATTCACCTCATAAATATATTGATTGTGTAGTCAAGGATTTTAGCTTAGCCAAGGTTCATAAGTAATATGTAAGGTGTTCTAAAGTGACAAGGCTCAATCTTATCTTCCTAACTACTTATCAAAAAAAAGACCTTGAAGAAAAGTAGTACGATGTTTTTTAGAGAAAGATAAAAAATAAAAATAAAAAATAAAAAAAATAAAACTAAAATTAAAACTAAATATGTATATCCAAAAAGAATTTGAGGTGACTATTGTCAAAAGACAATAAAATTAGGAATTCTTGAAATTATATTAAAAGCAATAGGAATTGACAAGAATGAGGGATGCTCCACTCTTGCTTCTATATATACTATCTAACTAAAAGCTACGTAACAACATTCTATGGGACCTTCAATACATGTCTAATTTGCAAGATACATGTCTAATTTGTAAGATACATGTCTCATTTACAAGACAAGCTTCTTATATGTGTGTTTAAAGATAATTGGTCAACTAAAAACTTAGCCAACAAGTTTGCAAGATACATGTCTAATTTGTAAGATACATGTTCAACTTGTAGTACAAGTAGCCAACATGTGTAATACATGGACAACTTGTTGGCTAAGTTTTTAGTTGACCAATTATCTTTAGGAACATATAAAGATAAAATCAAGTCTATAAAGCTTCAAAGATACTTCTCTAGAAGATATTATCAAATTCATTTGCTTTTACTTACTTCTATCTATTCATATTATCAAATTCATCTGCTTTTACTTACTTCTATCTATTCATATTATCTAAATAGTTATTAGAGTAAATATATATGTCCATGATACTACTTCTAAATTATTATAATTTGTATAACATATATATATATATATATATATATATATATATATATATATATATTTAATATTCTAATATTAATATTAATTTATATTTCATTTTTATTTATTTAAACTAAATTATTTATTTTTTATTTTAATTTAATTATAGTATTTTAAAACATATAATTAGCCTCAAAAAATTGGTTGGCCTTTAAATCTTGATCCAATTAATCATAATAGTCCTTGAAAGGAGCAAAATCAAATTTTTATTAAAACCTTTAAAATATATTTTTAAAAAATAAATTATTTTGAAATATATTTTGAAATAATTTATAATGAGTCATTTAATACTTCTAAGATAGTGATATTAAGTAAAGGCTTTTTTTATCATATTTTAAGTTTTTAAGTATAATACAATCTATTTAAATTAAATTTAGATATATTTTATAAAAATTCTTAAAAAATCATGATATTATTTTTTGTGCTTTTTTTTATTTATTGATTATAATTTATAATTTTTTGATAAGTAATATATTTGAGTAGAAAATATTTTATACATTGATCTTATAAACTAAATAATATTATCACAAATAAGAAAACTTACTAAATTCAATAAGATAATTATCTCCAAAACTTCATAAGATTCTATTTTTATAATATTTATTTAATAAGACTATGTAACTTATAGTATTTTTTATATCATAATCAATACTAAGATCTTTAAGTTAATTTTTTAATTTAAAAATTCTTATATATAAAATAATAAAATATTTTTTTAACAAGCCATCAATTCAAATGCATTAGTGGAACTGAAATAAGACTAATCTAACTCAAGAACCCAAGATCTTTTCAATCCACAACAATATAAAGCCTCTTCACAAAATAGGATAAAATAGACTAGAAAAAAACTGAACAGAGCTAAATAAAATATGACATAAAAGACAAAACTCAGCAAATCGAAATAAAATAGAACACATTTGAACAAAAAGATGCAGTATCAAACTTTACTAAGAGAAAGGGTCCGAAGCCATACTTGACTAGATGCCCCAAAAGGCCTTGGCCAGTCCTATTTATACCTTATTCTATCATCCTAGACTTTCTAGAATGTTCTTAGGTAGTAATTTCCACCTAGATAATTACCTTAAACTCCTTTTCTAGAAGGTTCTATAGTAGGCTCTAGTTAGATAGCTGTCCTAAGCTTTCTCCTAGGAAGTTTT